GAAGAAACTTCCTTGGAAGTCTCTACGAACTGTTTTGGAACCAAGACTCTTTGGTCAGCCGACCGAACAGTCACAGTAGTTATTTCAAGAACAGGACCAGTACCGTAAGCAAGAGCTGCAAGGTTAAGCTTTCGGCGAGTCATGACTTCTTGGTCGTCAAGACGGGGGCCTCCACTCGTAGTTCCACTTGACTACCGAGCAATGGCGGAAGTAGAAGCACCAGTGTTATCACAAGCTTGTTGCTCGAACAACCTCTTTGCAGACTTCCTAAAGTAGTCAATTACACGAACCCTCCTCTTATTAAGCTTGTGCTTGTAAGTGGCCTTGTAATTAAGCAATTTTGTCACAGATCGGTTGGGGTAGGCATAGGCAGTCTCAAGGTCGGCCAGATGTTCTTTGGTAGTCTGCCTTCTCATCCGGGAATCACCTGTCGAAATCATACAACGAAAGTTAAAAATCAACACCAAAAGTGTAGAAGAAAAGCATTAAGGACAAAAGCTAACTCGGACCACCACCTTCACGTGATATTTGCGTTGGTCGGTCCTCTACACCGGCAGGATACTTGAAGTTTCCTCCTACCGTGAAGAAATCTTTCGAATGCTTATCGGAATCAGGCAGGTCTAAGATCATTTGGGGTATATCGGGTCGAACTCTAAGGTAGAAAGTGCCACTCGGTTGGTGAGAGAAGCTGTAATAATAGAGTATGTCCCATACTCCTAAATTAGGGCCAAGCAATTTGTTAAGGGCCACGAAGCCACTTACAATCCTAAAATTATTCATGGTTATCTCCATGGCGTGGAGTTTGAAGTAATGGAAGAATTTGAGCCACAAAGGGTCCAAGAGGAACCGAACTCGCCCTTCTATGATGGCTCCTACAGGAAAAGGCACAGTGTCATTGATTGGAGTTCGAAGTGTGTTTAACCCCCCTAACACTAGTGTAACGTCTTCGAGAATATGGTACTTCTTGTGGAAGAGGGCTAGTTTAGACGATGTACAATACCCAGTAGAGCCCAGAAATTATCAAATGACCGAGACAAAAGCGACAATCAACAATGGCGAGAACCTAAAGCAAAGATATGGGTTCAAGTACTCACGGTGCCAAAAATCAAAAGGTGCACGACAACGAGGGACTCCAACAAAGCAAGCCCACTGCAATAATCGAAAACAATACCATTATGAGCCCACTGGAAAATGAAGAAATTGCTTGAAATAATGATGGATAACCACGGTGAAAGAAAAAATGATGACAGTTTGTGGCAAGAACGCAAAGTGACTGATTTTAGTGACTTACAGTATCGGTGGAAGAATTCACAATCAAGGAGAGGTCACGTGGTGGCGGAGGCGAAGCAAGTTTGTCGCAGTGAAGAACCAACGTCAATGACAAGACAAACCATCTGACAAAGGGATGCCGGAGAAAATTGATCTTTAAGCTCGCTCCAGCAAAAATAGAGTTTCTGGAGTAAAAAACCAAAAGCACAATGACTGACCAGAGAAAGCTGCCACCGCTGGAATCAATTGTGAGCGACAGAAAATGCAAGACAATCGCTGAAAATTGGCAACACAAAGATCACCGACGACAGGGCCATGAGGGAAGCACGGCGATAGGTTTGTTATCAAGACAGTGATGACGACAAAGCAAGCTTGCCGTGGAGAGACTAATGCCGTTTGGTGAGCTTCGAGTTTCAAAGAAATGGGCTTCTGGAATAAGAAAAAGAAAGGTAAAAAATATGGGTCTTTAGTTTCTCTCTAAAGAATTCAAAATAGCCTGCAATGGTCAAACCGTCCAAGCAAGAAATACCACGTGGCCATACAAACAGACGAAAGTACAACTTTATCAGAACCGAGCTACTCAGGGACCAAAGTGATGATCATTTTTTAAAATAAAAATAAAAATAAATAATAAATAATGTTCAAAAGTCAAGAATCATGGGCCCAGCAAGCACTCATACAAATTGTTTATAAGTTAAAGGCCATGAACAAGGGCCATGCAAATAAAGCAATAAGAAACTTGGTGGATTTCGGGGCCCACCCAGCTAATCTATGCAAATCCAAATATTTAAATTAGAAAAGTTGGCAATTCCAAGTAAAAAGGTGGTCGCCAGGACTACATGCTTAATCAAAATACGTGAGTGGGCCGAGATGACTGTTTAAAAAATATATATGTATATATATATATATATAAATAAATAAATTTGAAAGGACAGACCCTCTCACATAATATCATTTCTTATTCCATATAAAAGCTAAACCCTTATTCCATGTTGCTGCTATGATTTTGCTTGTTTGTTGCTTCTGTTCATGGAGTTTTGTTACTTTTGTTTGTCTAAAACTAGTTTTCTTATTATTTTTATTTGATGTTATGTTTAGTTTTAATACAGAGGAGAACTTTGCTTTGTGTAACATGTATCTAATTTTATTGCTTTTGTTTGTTGCTTTTGTTTGATGTTATGTTTATATTTTTATAAAATTAAAATGTTCTTTATTTTTTTTTATTTAATTATGCGAATCCGTGGTCCTAAATCGATCGTTATTGAAGAAGGCACAATTATTCAAGCCTATTTGTATGGAACCAAGCTAGGCTAGACGAAGGTCCCCACTCCAAAGTGGTCCTCCCCACCCCAATTCTAAGGTGGGCTGAGCTAAGGGTTCAATCTTGGCCCATTCCCCACTCCGAAGTGGGGAAGGCCACGGGCTTAGCCCAAGCTCCTTTCCTTACTATGATGTGGGCCGAGTTAAGGGTACAGCCTTGGCCCTTTCGCCACTTCGAAGTGGGTTAGTCCATAACTTAGGCTCCAAGACTCTTACTCCAAGACACTTGAGCTCTAACAGATCAACCAACACCATGTGAGTAAAGGACGCGTGGTGCCCTCGAATGATGGAACCGCCCAACGGAGTCTTTACTCTCCTCCAATGAGGCGCGACCTAACATAACAAATAAGTGCCAGGTGGTAGAAAGACAAACTTAATGAGCAAGTTAAGCCTAACCTTACCTCCCTTTACAAAGGATCAATCTCTTTACACTCTACACACTCGTCTTCTCTACCTTCTCTCCACCAAACTCTGGTACCACCTCGACCGTCGAAGGGGTTTCCGACCAACCCCTGGTCAGGCAGCCTAACGATTTGTTCGTTGTGCAGGCCTTCACCCATTGGTGCATCAGGGTTCGTCTACGAAGTTCCATCTTACTCTATTGCGGAAACTGGTCCGCACAGAGGCCAACGCTGTGATTATTACCAAACCCAGAAAACAATCTTTTACTTCTTCTGATTTAGGTCTTGTAATTTCTTTTAATTTCTTGTAATTTCTTTTACTTCTTATTACCAAACCCAGAAAACAATATTTTATTATCTTTTAATCTAGTTTCCTGATTTGGGTTCTTGTATTTTCTTTATATTCTTTTGTTCCCTTATCATTTTGGGGTCATAAAGTATAAATGAGATCAAAATCATGACAACTTTTCAAATTTTGTGATCAGATTTGAACTTTCTTTTACTTCTTCTGATCTGTGTTTTCTATTTATAATCAATAGAAGAAGATCAAGAGCTTAAACATGTGTGCAAATTGTGTAACAAGAGCTTCTCCTGTGGTAGATCCTTGGGGCCCACATGAGGTCTCAGAGTGAAATGGCAGAGTGATCTCTGTTTCTCTATGTTGTTTTTTTCCCCCCCACCAAACCACGTCGTTTTGGTGAGGAATTGATCTCATCCCCTGATTTCATTAGTGGGACAGGTATCGCGTCCTCGTAAATTCACTCTACCAGATCACTCTAGGAATTCACTCTAGAATATCCTAACGCTTGGAAAACAGGCAAGCAGCAGGAAGGAGTCAGAAATTTTTAGGAGGAATGATGAAATTCGTCTTCTTCTACTACTGTGTATGTGGGTGATTTGCAGCCCACGTGTCCAGCTTACATCTGCAAAGAAAGAGTTATTACAAACCAAACAAGCAGCAATGTTACGTTAAGAAGCAGCAGTGTTATACCACTCTTATATTCTTTTTATATAGGTTATAGATATGGGTGTATTGCACTAATTTCTTTTGGGATTTAAAAAATACATAGCAAATTCTATAATTTTAATATAATTATAATATATATATTTTTTTTTGATAAGGTTGAAGGGATATATACTAATACAAATGGTGTAAAAATATAAAAATACACAACAGAAATATACATTTCAGTATAAAGAGATAATATTATATTTTCATCCATATGACTAATAAATTATTGATGAAAAGGAAGTTATGTGAATTTTTTTTTGGCCAAGATCGTAGCATGTTAGTTTGTTACTAAAATTATATTATAACTAAAGAGGTCGTCGCCACTCCATCAGTTCGAACTCCTGACTTTTTCCCTCACCACACCTTGGCTACAAGACCATTGGTTCAAACCCAAGGTCGAACACATAAATAAGTTACTTATTGACTTATTTTAGTCGCATCACCTTTCTATTTTTTTGTACGGCTTTTTGTAATAGATAAAAAAGTCAAAAAATAACCAATACTTAAACCATCTTATACCTTTGTTTGACATATAGCTTTTTTGGACTTTTTGGCTAAAATAGCCACAAAAAGATAAAATAAGCTAAAAAGCCAATAAGACAAAATGTCACAACCAAATCATAATTCTTTCACAAAAGTAAAAAAAAATCAAAAAGTCAATCCACATTCCAAACAAAGCCGTGAATTAAAACCTTAAAGAAACCTAATATAATTATGTTAAACTTATAAAGCTTGTTTTATTTTTTTTCAAATCTCAGATAACCTTATATATATATATATATATATATCAGTTTATCAAATGAGAATTTTACCACTTAAATGATACAACAATGATTTATACTACTAAAAAAAAAGACCACTAATAGCACTAATGCATTGGGAATGCCAAAAAAAAAAAGGCGCCCACTGCCACATCATTAGTGGTGCTATTAGAGCACCTCTTTTAGTGCTCTCAACCATTTTTCTAAAAAGAACGTAAGAGTGGTGTAACATGGTATAACATTGGGCTTCTTCCCTCACAGATTTTGGGCTGGGCATGTTGATTCCTAGAATTTCCCAAATCGGTGCTCTCCTGCCTACAAGGTGTGGATTCAAATCATCCACACCGACTATGAGGAAGAAAACAAATTTTGCCTCTTTGAAGAGCGGCTCACCGACCCGCAGATCCACGAAAAAGCCCCCAACTTGAATTTGTGGAAGTGCGCAATTGCCACTGTTGCTGTTGCCTATTACATCTCAATCCTATGGCGGTGTATCGTTTGCTATTGAGTTGGGCAAATGCTGAGTTGTCTTCAAAGGGTGTAGTGGCGAAGCGGCAAAACTCTACATCTTTCAGGAGTGGTGAAACCAAGAACAACAAGTACACAACCAGACAACCAGGTGTGTGAAATTCCGTACTACGTTCTGCTTTCCTCTGTGTTTTGTATTTTTTATTGGTGTTTTTGCAAACTGGAACTCCATTCAGCTTTGTATTTTAATGCTCTTTCGAGATGGCTGGACAATCTGGTATGTAGATAACTGCTTCCATGCTTATTTGTCTGCCTAGATGTGCCCCCATGTGATTTCTATGTTCTTGTTTCTCTTTACTCTAATTTATGTGCAAATTATGCACACCACATGTTTGCTAATATGCCTATGAAAATAGAAATAGAAAATTTGCATTTTTTTTTACCTTACTTCAAAATATATATATATATATAGATTTAGAGAAAATTGTATCTTAAATTGTAGAAATTATTCTTAACTCAACAAGAATTTCAGTTTCAATTCAAATGCTATTGTATAGATATGCTATTGTAAGAGTAAAACTCTAGGTGTTTCGTTTTTTTTTTTTTTTTTTTTTTTTTTTTTCCAAACATAAATTAGTGTTAAAATATAAAAAAATAATACAAAAAATTATTGCCATATTAAGTATGGAGGTCCGTGTAAGAAATAATACAATATCTAGATCTCTATAACTCAGAATACAATATTGAAAACAGCTTAGAATTTACAAATTTTAATATGTTCCTATTTCATTATGTCTGGGTTCCAAATGTTTTGGAGTATTGATGTGTACACGAGAATGTTACAATGGAATGAGTGGAGTTTTTGTTTTTCTTGTCAAGATTTTATCTTGAAAACATTTTATTATTCATTTTTTCTGTTGAAATTCCAATAAAGTACTTCAAGAACCACTTTCATGGGGATTGAAAAGTCGTTAAGCATGACAGAACCAACTTTTAGAAGAGGAGGAACAAGGAAAAGTAGCAAGGGTTTACGCTTTGTCGAGAATAAGCGTTGACATTTAAGATTGAGCTTGTACTTTATTTCCATTTGGAATTGATATTATGCACAAATAAGGTAACTTAGTTTCTATTCAGGAACATGTCAATGATGTTGAATTGCTAATTATATGGTTATTTATAGGAATGTCCTCGTTGGGTATCATATTGTAGCCAAGTTTCTCTTTAGACTTTAACATTTGATATATAAATGGTTTCGAAAAGTATGTACATAGATTTTTTGGGTATGTTGTGTAATGCTTTGATGTACCACTGCAGAGCCAACATAATGAGTTGGAGGCAAAGTTTTTTTTAGGAGAGAGCAGCCCTTGAAGCTAATTGCTAGAAGGTTTATGGATCACTATACGATAAGATATGGAGAATGTGACTTATTAAGTGGTACGACCTATGGATTGTGTAGTTTGGCACTGCTTGTTTTCTTAATGCTTTTCCCAAACACGTCATAATTTCTTGTAATCAAAAGAAGTTCAAATTTATGTGAATTACCTATTTGTTGGGTTGACTTGTAATGTGAGTGGACATGTTGTAGAGGTGTGAAATTGTAAATGGCGTCGTTGAAGTTGAAGGAGTTACAAGTGAATCCACAATGGACCTTGAGGATGATAACTCTACAAAAGGTAACTCACTTCTTTGAAAATTGTTGAATTCTTCTTCTCGCTTTTGTTAGGAAACATTTTTCCACACAATTGGATCTCATCATCACATGTAACAAAAACTTCCATTTCTACTCTCTATTTCCTAAAATTTGTTTCTCTACGAGTCAAATGGTTTTGAAATTATTTGATTTCGGTTATGAAACGGTTTGATTTCTATAGCATCTCTTCTCTTCTCTTCAATGATTGAGGTGGGTTTTCAAATGGTTTCTACTTCTATTTTTTGAATTGGGTTTCTAAAAGATTTCTATTTCTTGAGATAGGTATATGAAACAGTTTCCACCATCACACCATTTTTTAATTGGTTTGATTTCAAGTATTAGGCATGAGCACTTTGTGAAAAATGATATTAGGCATGAGGACTCTATTGTTTGGGTTCTGGATATCAGTCCTCATGCTTTATAGAAGAATAAGTGATATCAACTCTCAAACCGAATCATAAACCAAATATAACTGTATTTCACCTATATTGTACACACTTTTTTTTCCCTCAAATTCACAAACCAAATACAATTTTTAAAGTATTTATATTGACACTGTAACACGACGGGGGCCCAACTAGTATATATATATACGTAATGCATTATGAACCATGCCTATGTAACAATGTATTAATATTGAATTCTTATTTGTATCGTGCAAGCTACCTGAAGATGACATTTTACCCACTCCAGTAGTAATATATCTCTTTCTTCTTCTTTTTCTACTTTCCCTCAGCAGTTGGAACAAAATACTTGAAGTGAACATATAAATCTGAATTTTTAATACAACTGGTCCATTGTGTAAACTCCATCTGCAATACTTGTTTTTTTTTTTTTATACTAATTAATAAGAAAAATACATTTCATTGCTTCCAAATCATGATCATAGTGTATTATCAAAAATTGTTTGCTGGTTTGGCTTAAAGCCTCAATCAAAAACATAAATAAATAAAATAAATTTGTTTTCCCCTTGCTTGTCCTGGGGTTGAGATAAAAATACATTGCTTATTTTGCCAATAATATTAGCCATTAGAACAATATGGTCAAGATTTATGTCACAAATGTAGAAATATCCACATATATAGATCAATTATTTTGGTATACATTCTTCTACTTTAGTGAACCATTGGACTACATTTTTCCAATAAGAAATTCCCATTTCATTTGCATTGACAATCAAGTACAACAACATCCATTTTTCAAGTAGGAAATGAAATCAGATCCATAATGCGTGTAGTATCACTTTGTGATCTACTGATTGACAACAACAACAACAACAAAAAGAAGTCAGAAATGAAATATATAGAGAAATAAACAGAAGTAGCCAATACTAAGGCCTCCAAGCTTTCATTTTGCCTATCTTTGATATCAGCTTTTCAAGTATGGGATGACTGAGAACTGAAGTAACAGAGGAGAGGAAAACTTGCCCAAACAACTCCACTATGTTTCCTTCAATAATCACCCTTCTCACTCCACCAATCAAGCACACCACAGTCAATAATCAGTATGGATAATATTATCAAGGGCACCATGAAAATTTTAGCCCCTTGGAAATCAAATTTACCTTTCTCATATTTTCAAGCTTTTCTTGGTCAATGACTTTGTTTGTCAGCCTAAAATTCACCTTCACTACGCCTATTCCAACATCTAGTCATCCAACCAAGCTTCCTGTTACAGATTTTATCATCCAAATTCTATATTCATTCCACCAAGTTCTCATCGAGCCGCCAGTAGCGCAGATTTCGTATAAATGTTGACCAAGGGAAGATGCATATACAGTTGGATAGAGTATAACAAAATCTATTTACTTTAATAGAAAAAAACACATATTACCACCCTAAATTGTTTTTGGAAATTACAGAGAGACCGTCATCAAAAAAGGGGATCAAGTTGAAATCGCTCTGCTGGCCAATGCTGCTCATTCAATTATCCAGCACTCCTGCTTGGGTATTTTTTAATGATTATTTAATTATTCTAACCTTATTTGATAAAGCATAAGGATAAATGTGCACTTTTTCAAATTGAATAGTAATGCACAAATTTATAAAAAGAAAGAGAAAAATAAATTTAGAAAAACCCACACAGCTGCACTAATCATCCCAAGTTTTGAAATCTTTTGTATTACTCCAGTGAAATCATTTCATAATCTCCATTTTTAACATGGAAAATGCACAGATAGATCTTTTAAATAAAACTACCCAATTACAAGACCTCAAGCTTTTCTCTTGCCTTTCTTTTGCACAATCCCTTCAAGTATAGGATAACTAAAAACTAGTATCAAAGATGAAAGAAAAACTTGTGCAAACATCTCATCAAAAGTCTTCTCAGTAATCAGCCCTTTCAATCCCCCAATGAAGCAAACTATGTTCAATACGACTAATATTGTTAAGGGCACCATGAAAAGCTTTGCTCCTTCGAAGTCAAATTTACCTTTCTCATATTTTTCGAGCTTTTCTTGGTCAATCGCTTTGTTTGTCAACCTGAAATTCACTTTGGCTATGCCTATCCATTTCATGAGCACATCTAGACATCCAAACAAACACGCTGTGACGGACTTTATCATCCAAATTCTCTGTTCATTCCACCATGAACTAATTGAGCCACCACTAGAAAGGACTTCGTATAAATGTTGACAAAGTGAAGATGCATATACAATTGCAAATAAAGCAAACCATGTGCTTGAAAGCTGGAAAAAAACAGAAAAAAAAAGTCAATCAAGATTGCAGCATCGAAGCATGACAAGATTGTATGATTGTGAAGCTATATGTTGTTTGGGTGTGTGAAATTAAGAAAAAACTTAAAAAACGAATGTGATGAGAATTTTACCTTTGGGTACACTGGAATGCCAGTCAACAAGCAAAGCTGAGGGATGGTTGCGTATAACAGGAAAGCAAGAGAGTGAAATGATACAAATGTGAAGTATCCATAGCACATGCTCTGAAGAATAGACATTCTTGACAGACCATATGTGAGAGGGCTGAACTTTGAAAGACCAACTTGAACCAATCCGGAACTCCACTTACGTTGTTGCACCATGGCATCTTTCATGTCAATTGTGGTACATCCCAAGAAGCACGGCCTTTTGGGATAAAGATAAACAGATTTCCACCCTTTGCAGTGCAAAAGATAACCAGTGAATGTACTCTCCAACAAAGAATCATAAGAGTAACCTATCTGTTATCCACCCAACAAAAATATTCAGTGTCATCTAACAACATAATAATGTTCAAGAAGATTATCAAAAATTTCATTGGATGTATAATAAACTTGCCTCTCTACCCCATGTTGTGCCTTTCTCAAAGGTGCAAGAAGCCAAATTCCTAGCTTCTTCTATTAATATTGAACTTGATACAATTCTCTTTCCATTGCTTTTTTCTGACTCGTGAAGAAAAGTGACTGTAAAATTAAAAAATAAAAAAAAAATGATTGAAAAATTGATAAATGAATTATCTTTCACAGAACAGTTGTCAAATGAATCTATAGTTAGACCACAAAAGTATAGGCATACCCTTTTGGTTAGCACTTCCAAAGAGTGCCTTTCTCTTTACATAATAGCCCGTACCAGTGAATAAAGGACCACTTAGCCCATCCATGCCTTGCCATTTTGTCTGAAATTTGACAGAAGTGCTAGCAATTTTGTGAAAAAAGACACAAAAAATTAAAAGCTCACATGGACTTTAGACATGAGAGTGGGCGTAGAAGGAATAGAAATTGGCTTAATTAATTAGCATGGGCACCTTGTAAGCCGATCTTGCTTGGCTGTCATAGATATCATTCTTGCTAACATTATAGAAGATTTGAGGATATTGTACAAAAGCAAGAGATTGAGAGATTTGAGGGTCAAGATGGAAGCACATTGCTTGTCGAGCTGAGGTTGGATCGTTACAGTACATGTCACAGTCAAGTACTAGCACATAAGAGCCATTACTCATTATCTCTGAAACTCGAAGCTGCAGTCAAAGGTAGAACTTTTAAGGTCATGTCGAGAGGGATATATGATATATCCACATACACATCCGTGCGCACACAAGCATATATAGAGAGGGACAGAAAGAGAAGATTAGAAATGTGACACATACCAAAGCATTGAGGGCTCCGGCCTTGAAATTATGAGGGTGAGATGGTCTTTTTTCACGAGATACATAGACAAGAAGAGGCAACTTAGTTTGGTCATTGTTGTCCTCACCATGTTTTCCATTGTCATGTATTACCTACATCATATCCACCAAATTCTACTTATACTCTTTGATGATATATACTATGGATATGAAAGAAAAGAAGTTACAGTCATGACATGCAGTCACTAGAGTTGCCAATTTGCTTGGTAAAGTTCTTGTTAGTACTATAAGAATTTCTACCTTCATTTAAATTAAGCGGTTTTTTTGGCAAGGAAGGGCTATTTCCCTTGCATATAGTCCCTGACATGAAATTAATAACACTGATAATAACAATATTAATAAAATAATTTAATTTTCAATATAATTTACGTATTGTTACAAAGCCCCTAAAAATATGGAAGAGACAATACACAGGCACTATTAGCCATTAGATCTTTAAAATTAGGTAAATTACAAATACACCCCTGAAGTTTGTTTAAAATACGAATTGCACCATGTGATTTGAAAAATTATAAATACCTCTCTGTCAAAATTTTTTATTTAACAGAATTAATTGAAAAGTAGTAAAATTTCTATCTATTCATCTATACAATAATAAAATTATCTAAATTATTAATTGAAATAAAATTTTAACATTATTAAAAACTGTTAATTAACTTAATGATTGATTAATAAAATGACCTATTTGTTATGTAATTAGAAACTTTAGAAGGCATAATATAATTTTTAAAACCACAGGAATAATTTATAATTTAAATAAACCTCAAGAGGTGTGTTTTTAATTTATCTTTAAAATTATTTGGTGATTTTTTAGTATTATTTTACACCATTCATTTTATCACGCTACTTAAAAGCCAACATAAAAGTGGTAAGTATTACTATTTCAACCAATAAAAAAATAAGTTAGATTTACTCTAGAATCATACTATAATTTTCCTTATGGCCATGCCCCACCAAGTTTTAATTTTTTTATAAAAATAAAAAATTAAAGTTATTTTTTAAAAAAAAAAATTAACAAAAAAGACAAAAGAAAGGGATAAATTTTTTTTTTAAAAAAAATATATATCTATACTTTTGTATTAAGTAAAAGGGGGGTTTTTAACCCCAAGACCTGTAGGAGTTTCAATATCCCAATCTGAATTTTCTAAATTTCTTATTAAAAAAAAAAACTCAGTATTTATTGATTTGGTCAAAATCTCCTAATCAACATTTATTAACTTTTTTCAATCCACATATCTTTTCACATGCCTGCATTAATTGATTTGATCAAAATCTCCTGATCAACATTTAAAATCCCATCATACAAATAATTATAGATACAATCCGTATATAGTTACTGCAGTACCATTTTCTACTTCTCCCATACAATATGGTTAGTGATAAGATTGTTAAATTATTTTTATAAAAAAATCTTTAAAAACATAATTTATATATTAAAAAAAATCTAAAACAAATATAAATATCTATAATTGTCCCGTACATAGTACGGGTGATAGGCTAATAAATAAATAAATAAAAGTCCCCCAACAAAGCCTTACTGCATACCTCTACGCAAGGAGGATGATCGTTCACGGCACATTCTTCAATATCATTGCATTCAGTAGCTTTCTCCACATTTTTCTTGAATAATTCATATGTGGACTGCACGAACAAGTTAATTACCATTAGCTAAAACCTCGTTTTCACATCATTATATAATGATTGTTAATTATTTTATTAAAAAATCTAAGTTTTCTACTATGGTTAACAAAGCATAATTTTGTTTTTATATATAGATAAAGCGTGTGACATTTCCACAACAATATAAAACACTAAACTTGATTGGAAACAATAAAAGATGCTCCAATAATAAACACTAAAAAAAAATTAGCATATGTAATTTAACGAGCTGTTTGGGAATTTTTAAATAAATTTTTTTTTATTGATTTGTTTTAAATTATGTCAAATTTTTATTTTTCTAATCTAGATGAATTTAAAAAGTAATTTTTTTTTTTGAAAAATTCATTAAAAAAAATTAAAAAGCCAAAACAAGTTTAAAAAATTCACTATTTTTTGCTTTTTGTCTTTTCTAGATTTTTATTGAATTTTTTTAAAAAAAAAAATTGGGTAACTTACTAACAAGTACTCATATAACAAAAGAAAAAGACAAAATATATCAATCTCAAATCATTTATTACTAAATTCAATATATTTTTTAATGAATTTTAAAACACTTCATAATTATTTTATACTTTTTGAATACATATTTTTTCTCACATCCCCGATCTGACCGGTTAGGTGTCGTCCCTTACGGTACAACACGCGTGCTGTGAGGCCCGTTGGGAAAATTCCGAATTTATTTTTATATTATAAGATTTATCGAATAGATTATACATAAAAAAAAACGGCAATGTTGGAGGGCCACAAAAACAGTGGCTCAAAACTGTCAAAACGACGTTGTTTTGGATGCAAAACAACGCAAAACGACGTCGTTTTGACAGTTTTGAGCCATTTGAGCCACTGATTTTGTGGCCCTCAAACATTTTTCAAAAAAAAAAAATAAAAAAAATAAATCAGATCAATTAGATATTTATAAACTCATAACAAGTCACATTTGTTTTAAGTAAAAAAAAATGATTGGTATAATTTTAATAATTTTTTAAACTAATTAAGGGTTGGTTTTGGATGCTCTAAAAAAGTGTACTTTTTGACTTATTGGTTTATAAGGGTTGGATTTAAGTTGAGTTTGATGTGATGTGTTAGAGATGTGATGTAATTTAAATAAGATGATATAACTTAAATAAGATAGTGACTTTTTAATTTTTTATATTATTTAATAGATGCCAAACTCGGCCTCTGATAAGAGATTACATATGTTCAGTTAATCTAAATTTTTTTATAAATAAAATAATTAATATATTTATAATATAAATAATTCAAATTAAAAATAAAAATAAAAATCACACTCTATAAACCTCAGCCCCAGATAGATTTTTAAAAGAGAGAAGTGATTTGGGGGTGTAAGTAGAGTCTAATCAAAACCCTACCAATATGACACAAAAAAAAAAGAAATAAAAAAATAAAAAAATAAGATTAATAATTTAAAACACCTCTAACACTCATAATTTAAAGCTGTCAATTATTTTACTTTAAAACGTTATCGGATTCTTTTCAGTGGATTATCTTGCCCCCCACTGATGCGAGTGCTCTATAGGGTTATGTCAGTGTCATGTCAGTGTTCACATGTCTGTATCTAATTTGTTGAATCCAATAATGCCCTTGTTTAGTGTAGTTTAAAACTTGTTTATTTCAATTTTCAGTTTAATTTAAACTATTTTAATGTGTTTAGTTTAGTTTATAACTTATAACTTATAGCTTATAACTCTTTGAAAGTCAGAAATCAACTTATTCTTTGAGTGGAGCAAGAGATGCTTAATTTATGAGTTAGAAATCAACTTATATTCATAGTTATAAATTATAAACTATTTAAACATAAACTATAAGTATTTTCCTACAATTCTACCAAACAAGACCAATATAAGAAGAGGAAATTTAGGTTTTTATTATTAAAATAATCAGTGGTGCTAGGGACCTGGCACCCCAGCACCCTAGTTTATTTTCATTGGTCAGTCATTTTTTTTTTTTTTTCTTTTATTCCAATCACTCACAGCCAGGTGGGCTAGGGAGGGGGTCACTGGAGTCATTGGGGGTGAGGTCTGCCGCATTTTTTTAAAATAATTATGAAAGATTTATAATTTTTTAATTATCTTAATTAGTGTATAATATTTTATTTTAACTGTAATTCAAGAGTCATAAAGATTTCATAATTATTTTTATGATTTTCCATGATAGTATTTGTTTATTATATTTTATTTATGTAATATATGAGTAGAAATAGAAAATTTTGAATACATAAATTTAAATATATTATATCTATAATTTATCAAATTTATTTTCTATATTAAATATAATTGTTATATATATAAGTAGAAATATAATTTATTTTCTATATAATATATTTTAAATATATTATACATATAATTTATCAGATTTATTTTCTATATTAATTTAATTTCTATAATTTCCATTACACGTCAATCTAATTAAATAAAACGTTATCAATTTAATATAAAAAAATAAAATAGAATTAAAGTAACCGAAGTTATATGAAAACCTTACCTTGATCTCACCTTCCTCGGCCCTAAATTGATCACTCCTAAGAGCACGTTCCTCATCACCAAACGATGAAAAATAAGCAAGAGGACATCTACTCTTAATCCCATACTTCCTACAAAACGGAATCCAAATCCTCGCAAACTCACACGCCTCCTTCATCGCATTCCTCGTCACCTTCGAACCACCGTCGTCTGACAAATACACCGCCAGCTTCTCCGCCGGATAGTCGAGCCCCATCGCCGACAACACCGTGTTCATCACCTCCACCGTCGGTTCCTTCTTAGGATCGGCGGTGCAGATGAACACGTCCACCCCGGGCAACTCTGAGTTGCCCGGGAGCTTTTCCGGGTACACTGCCCGGCTGACCGGCCTCCACCGGAAGGCTTGTACGAGGAACCATGCGAAGGTGAAGATGAGCTCGGATATGGTGACGAGAGTCCATGATAAGACTGGTACGTCGCCGAGGAAGAGGTGGGAGATTCTGTAGTAGAGTAGGGCTAGTGTGGCTACGGAGTGGAAGAGAATGTGGAGCCTGTTAATAGTGGCTCGAGCTTGCTGAACTGTGCAAGTGTGGAGGGTTTGAGTCGCCATTTTTGTTTTCTCAGCTCATAAGAGAGCTTTCTCTTGGTATTTATATAAGTTGCAACTTGGATATTTAAATTTTTTTTTTTTTTGTTTCTTGTTTTTTTTTTTGGCGATTGTGTTGACATTTTGCCAATTCTAAATATACCACACCACACTGTAACATCAAAGAAGAGTGTGGGTTGAACTTATCCGGACAATTATAGTTAAAATTTGAGACAATTATCCGGATACGTAGATTCATCATAGTCCAATTCAGATTAATTTAATTTTTTTGTATATGCACAAAAGAAAATGTTTTGTAACTCAAATTTTGTGGTTCAAAAGTGACTTAAATGACCAAAACGACGTCGTTTTGACCATTTTTATGTTGTTTTGTACTCAAAACGACGCCGTTTTGGTCATTTGAGTCACTTTTGAGCCACAAAATTTGAGTTACGTAGCATTATCGTTGTACAAAAAATCTTATAGTCCGATAAAATAAATGGTCATTACAGTAGAACAGTTCTACTAGTTCATATTTGAATTTCAAAAATTTCCAACCCCTTAATATTATATATAGAGAGAGGGGTTGAAACTTGGTACTGTCATTTATGATAAATTTTTATTTATATTACTGAAATGAATTATTTAAAATTTTTTTAAAAAAAATTAGAGACTCACAATTTAAATTTTTAAATTCACTTATAATAATATTGCAAGGGAATTAGAACTAGTATACTTCAGCATGTGATAAATTAAAAGTTAACATCTATCATATTACATCACTGTAGGTTAAAATTTGAAAGTTTTTATAAACATTTTTCAAGATTTTATTGTCACATTACATCAAATTATTAAACAAAGTTTATAAGAAAAGTAATGCTAGAGACTCTAAATAATCTATCAAATATTTTATCAATCACATCCATGTGAGTTTGTGTGAGTCCCACAGATTTAATAAAATATTTAATAGATTATTTAGTATTCATAGCATTTTTCTTATAAGAATTCTTAATTTAATTCTTTCTAATAATTTATAATTATTCAAAATAGCACCAAAAATTTTATTGCACACCTTTACTGGCTGACGTGGTCAACAAACATGGCTGATTATTTTTGAGCTTGACTTGTGGACTCTTTGAGAAGAAAATTTGTTGAAAAAAATACTTCAAAAGCAAAAAGGCATGAAATATGTAGGGTATGTTTGGTTTGAGTTTGGGAGATGAGTTTTAGAGATAAAAAGTACAAAAAGTTGTTTGGTTTGATTTTTTTCAAAAGATGTTTTGAAAAATTATTTTGAGAGAGTTTTGAAAAAAGTGATTGATTTGATGTGTATGAGAGAGAGATTTGTTTGGAAAACTTGTAAACCAAACAAGTTTTGGGAAATTTTTTTGAAAAAATTTGTTTGGTTTAATTATTTTTGAAAATTTATTTGTAGAGAATTTTTCCCAAAAATTTTTGAGAAACACAAACCAAACAAGTCCGTAGTTTTTCGAAAAAAAATTTCTCCGTGTCAACGGGTCCCCCAATCCTAGACTGAACTTAACGTTCCGTTTGGTTTACCATTAAAAAAATAAAAATGAAAAAACAGCTTATCGACATACAAAGTAAAATCATATTTTGGAGTTGTTTGGAATGACCTAAATAAGTGTATTTTTTGTCTTTTTATAAAAAGATATGTAAAAAAATAAAAAGATAATGTGATGAAAAAAAGATAAAAAGATGGATTATATTGAGATTGCCAAACTTGATTGTTGTGGTGGAATTGTAAATAGTTTTTTTTTTTTTTTCCCTTCTTGATCCTTCCAAATGGCGCTCAGCCCATAACCCATGCGTCGTGGTCCGGAAATGTTATTTTACCGACAGACAAAATTATTTTAATTTGAGTTTTATCCAAGAAAAAAGCCTTAAATACCCCATAAAGAAAAATATTTATGTTAAGTTTTACCCCATTCCTATAGAGGACTGCAAACGTTATTTTCAAGAATAAACCCAAAACCTAGTAGAACAAGAAATAAGGAAATTTAAAAATATTAAGTGATATCAAAACTGATAGCTCCTTTTCAAAAATAATAGAGTAAATTACTATAAATAAGCTTCCTAATATTTGTTTAAAATACTTATTTCCCCATGAAATTCTGAAAATTAAAAATATTTCTTTGTCAAAAATTTTTATTTAATAGAATTAACAGAAAAAATAAAATTCTTAACTACTCTCCTATACAATAATAAAACTACTCGAACTATTAATTAAAATATATTTTTAACATTATTAATTTATTAATAAAAAAGTCATTTATTATGTAATTAGAAATATAAAAAGGCAAAATATAATTTTAAAAATTTTAAAAAAAAATATTTATAATTTATAAAAAATAATAAGAGCGACAATAATTAACCAAAAAGAAGTTTGGATCCTTGCATGGTTATGCGTTTTGTTTATTGGGCCATTTCAAATCAAACTACAAAAGGGTGCCTATGTGGGTCAAAATATTATTTGAACCAACGTTGTATATATTAATATTAAAATGTTGATTTACTTTAAATAATGAAAAATGCTAGAGATATAAAATAAATTTTAAAAAAATTTATCAAATCCCATGTAGCATTTCCAACTATGAATCTTTTTAATCAAATAAAACCCACATAAGATCTCTGAATGAGAAAGCAAAGGCCGCTATTAGAATAATTCAACAGATGTTTTAATTAATTTTTAATCCAAAGTAACATCATTTATAGAGCATTCAGGACTAACCCATGCCCTCAACGATACGCCAATTCAATATACTATTATATTCTATCAACAGTGATTCTTTATAAACAAAAAATTAATTAATTAAATCGGTTGGAAAAAAAATAAACAAAGAAAAATTGCATAATGTAGCAGTAAAATTCAAAAGTGTGACGAGAAGTTCAATAGTATAATTATAAATTACTCATTATATTTCTTACATATATTGATACCAACAAATTTCTATTTGCTTTTTGAAGTTACTATATATATTACTTCTTTCATTTTCAATTATTTGTTTCACACGAAAAATGATAATTAAAAAGTAATATATTCTCATATCGATTTTTTTATTTTATTTTTATCAACTAAGAGATTTCTTTAAATATATTAATTTGTAAAAAAAAATTATTTTTTTTATAAAAGAATAATTATTTTTAAATTCTTATTTTCCATACTAACAAACAATTTGCGATCGAGATCGTACCCCAATTGTTCATCAAAATTTTCAACTCTGATGTAGATTAACTATTTATTAAATATGATGATCACATACAAATAACTTTTAGGGTAAACTATCAATATGTTTTAATAATTAGATTTAATTCTCATTAAATTCTATTAAAAACAAGTCTTAATAAAGTTATCATTAAAAATAATTTTTTGTGACGATTTTTTACGTATGCCGCCAAAAATAGACAATTAGTGACTTTTTTTATTATAATTTTTATAAATTGTTGTTAAAATTTATAATTAGTGACTTTTTTGTGATAAATTTTTTAAATTGTCGTTGAAAATTGAAAATTAGAGACATTTTTGTGACGATTTTTTTAAACTGTTGCTATAACTTATAATTAGTGACATTTTTGTGATAAAATTTTTAAATTGTCGTTAAAAATTAACAATTAGTGATATTTTTTAATAATGTTGGATAAAAATGTCATTAATTATTATAGGATCTAATGAATAATAAATTTACTTATTAAGACCTATATGTAAGCCTTAACTTTTGTTATATCATTACATTTGAAAGTGAAATAAATAAATGAAATGAAATTATTAATTGTTTTTGTACATAAAAATTTAGAATAATGTTATATATACCAATTAATGTATTAATTAATATACTAACAGATGATATGACATATTTTAAATTTTTTGAATATTTATAATTTGTATAATAAATGAAATTATTAATAATAATATGATATTAGTCGATATATGTTGGCTACATATTTTGTACAAGCCAATTACAATTCAACGCGTGGCGAAATAGGGGTAATATAGAAAGACTATTCAGGTCCTCGATCCTAATCGTACACGTGGCAGTTAGCATTGGTTATTAAGAGATCTGAGTAGCAGCGGATCAACAAAGAGATACAAAGTGACGTGGCTTCAACGGTTACTCGCATTTCAGATTCAAATTTATGATGGAAGCTTAACTGCAAGTAATGGCGTAATGGAACTAATATTGGGGCAAATTTATCGATGATCATGGAGGAGCAGTTCGACGGTTAAAAACGCAATTCGATGGTCATCCTAGAGCAATATAAATAGTAGAGAAGGCCCCAGAAAAAAAGCCCCCAGACTTAGATCCAAAAAACCAGTCTTATTCTACTTTACTTAGTTTTACATATCTTGATCTTTACATTCCAGTACTTTAAATTCTGCACTACACTTCATTCATTGGAGTAGTTTCAAGTAGATTGTTGCTGTAAATCCCTACGAGACTGAGTTATCATTGTAAGTTTTTTCATTGTAATGAAATGCTTCAGTTGTTCTTTATTTGATCGGTATTCTGTTTAATTCTCCTAAATCAAGCCACCTGTAAATTCCTCTTCATTGAGGTTGAGAGAACTAAAACACAATCGTCTGATAATTTATTGGCAATTAAATTTCTATGAGTACTGATTGATCCTTGCTGGCACGCTTGCAATTACAATAATAACCTTCGAAAGCCAAAAGGCCAACATATATTTTTGGCACGCCCAGTGGGACATAATTGAAATGGCTAGACGTAGGAGACAAGGAGAAAATAAACGCTTGGAAGAAGGCATGGAAGGAGAGGTAGAGATACCTAATCCAGAGGATAATGTGATAACACATCTTCTGGAAACTCCCATTTTATCAGAACCTATGGTCGAACAGACCAGTACTTCAGAACAAATACCATATGTTCGTAATATTGGACGAGACCAAGGAACTGGACCATCCACTGTCCCATCTACTCAGCCAGTGAATCCATGGGGTGGCATAATAGATGCAATGGGACAACACTTAATGAACACAATGGAAAGGTGGGCAACATCCTTTTTGGATCGAATGAATAACCACCAACTACCAAACGTAAGACACATGGAGGAAATTTCGAATGCCCCTCAGCAAAGATTGGCTAGAGATAAACAGC